TAACAAACACCCTTATTTTACATATTTATGAAAAATGAAAAGTGAAAAATTTTATTGGTTCCTGTAAGTTATCCATTAGAACAACCATATCCATATAATAACGTACCCTATATAATAAATAGATCCATCCTGCTAGAGCTTCTATAGCTAAAGATGTACCCTATATAATAGGGTATAGAAATACATTTAGCTATAGAAAAAAGTTACGCCATGAACATTTTTATTTATTTACCAGAAATTTTGAGTTAAACACAAAAAATTTTTTTTTTTTGAAAACAATACTCTAATAATCCCATATAATCCGATATAAAAAATGCATTTTTTTAATTGCAACAAGAAAAAGCAGCCGTAATGCTACGCGCTGGTGCTTTGCGTAGTGCTACGCGCTGTAACTTACAGCCAAGATTATTAAACTCACTTCTTACTAAAGTAGAGATTGCGACTAATATTTCAGCTAATCAAGCTAATTAAATTGACCAGATCAGCTTCAGATGATTGATTCAATTTAATCAGCTTGAGATTTAGAGAGATGTCGATAGTGGTCGTAGAGGAATTGCTCCATATTTGAAATTTTTTCAATGTGAATTTCTTTCAATTTCCTAAAGATTTATTTAAAAAATTACTTTCATGCAGGGCCTCTGAGAGCTTTCACGCCGCAATACTGGCGCCCTTATTTTTCAAATTTTCCCTACATTTTTTTACTTTATTTTTTTAGGTACCTACATTTCATTTGGCACCCCTTGGATATCTGCCGCCCGAGACAAACTGTCCCTCGCGACCGTTTTGTAAAAATTGTGACCGTTTTATTTGCACAATCATTATCAGTGAAAAACTATAATTTCCTAGGAGATTAATTCCGCACGTAGAAATTCTCAAATGAATGTATATAAAAACCAAAGCGCTAAACTAATAATAATATTTAAACAATTGTAATATGACTGTTTGTTTTATTTGTCTATTTTGTTAAAGTGTCACTTCACTGACTAATTTTTAACTATAGTGACAACTGTTGAGAGTTGGTAACGAAATACATAACATTATGAGTGGTAAGAGTGCGTTCATGTGGAACGCATTAGAACTCGTACGTTAGTTAGAAGGGAAACGTTAAATCTAATCCACAGTCGTTTACAAGCGTTAAGTTTAGGTGCGCATGTACCAGAAGTTAATAAAAATTTCAGAGTTTTTAAAATGGCTGCGGCTCTTAGCTACATAATCTTTTTTTATATAGCAACTGTTATTTTTAGTTTATTCTTGTTAAAAATTAATGTTGCAACCATATTTCTGATCTAAATCAATAAATAAATCCCTTTTTTGTATTAGTAAATAAATAAATACGCTAACCAATTACTTTTAAAGTTTTAACTTGTGTTTTGGCTAAAACTTTTATTTGTAACATTGAGTGGTTTGTTTATTTTTTAAAAATAAATTTTGGGAATTTCTAACTGTACAAATTAAAAAAAAAACTTTTCTTTATTATTATTACTACTTTCTTTATACTTTGACCTTCTTTTAGTCGTTGCTTAAATTTAATTTTTCTGTAAAAATGTATTTTAACTCGTTTAGCTTGTTAAGAGCTTAGTTTTTTCTTGAATTTTGTTCTGGTGCATTTTTGTAAAAAAATGCATATATATATATATATATATATATATATATATATATATATATATATATATATATATATATATATATATATATATATAATATATATATATATATATATATATATATATATATATATATATATATATATATATATATATATATTTCGTCAGGAAGCCTTATGATCCTACTGATAGCGAAACAAGCTGTAGAAGAAAATAAAAATTAGATAAGTGTTTTTACTAATTTATATATATATATATATATATATATATATATATATATATATATATATATATATATATATATATATATATATATATATATATATATATAATGAGAGAGAGAGAGAGAAACAGAGAGAGAACAACGTGCAATATTAAATAAGCAGTTTTCATAAGTATAAGATATGTAAAGTTTTATTATTTTTCAGGAATTAAAAAGAGCAAACAAGACAAGTATTTTTTAGAAACACTACTATTTTTAGAATCTATATATCTGTCATCATATTAGCTGTTCCAATATTTCAATCCTATAATATTGGAAATATTGGAACAATTATTATGACGATAATTAATTGTCATCATAATAATTGACGACAATAATTATTGTCTTGTAAAAAATACCTAAATATGGTTCGGTTTACTAATTTAGGTACCAAGTTGCATTGTAGCTGGTAATGTACAGTTAGACAATGCGTATTGATATTTATTCGTATTATATATAATTTTATATATTGATAAAGTGGGGGTTAATTTAATAGCTGACTTTGTTAATTTAATTAAGCAGACATTTTTATTCCTAGATTATTTTATAAAACACTTCAAGAAAACAATTTGATCATTAAAAGCACAGTATCATGTTCTTACTTGACAGAAGCTGAAACCAGATTCTACATTTTTTTAAAGTTTAAAAACTTCAAGATTTAAAAAATATGGTTGTATAAAGTAGGCAAATTCTGTATTAATGGAATATGGTAATAATCTACAGATTGATTATATTGATGAATTTCAGAAATTCGATTGATAATTAAATCAAAAGTTCAATCAGTATGATACATGCATGTGCATGTGTATGTTCACACATGATTTATGATATATCATGTGCATGTGTATGTTGCATACATACACACACATATGATATATCATATATTATGTGTGAATGTAAGAATTTTTTTTATAACTTTGTTATGGTGTATTTTAAATGATCATGTTAAAAAATAAAGATAAAAAAATAAAATTATTTATTTATGTTATATTAGCTAACAAAGTAAGTAAATACGCAAATTTTTTACTTACTTTACATTTCATGTATTTGGAAACTTGCGATTGCTAAAACAAAACATACACACATATACTATATGTGTGTACGTTTTGTTTTAGCAATGGAAAGTTTCCAAATACATGCAATGTATAGTAAAAAAAAAATACTTTTCTATTAGCTAATATAATATAAATAAATAATGTTATTTTTTTATCTTTATTTTTATAACAAGATCGTGTAAAATGCACCAGAACAAAGTTATAAAAACTTAACTACTCACATGATAAAAATACATTTTTATGCCAAAATTAAATTTAAGCAAGAATCAAAAAATTATAAAACTATAAAGTAAAGAACATTAAAGAGGTTGAAGAAAAAAATTTAAAATTCGTATAGTTAGAAATTCAGAAATTTTAGTTAAAAAAAATAAACAACTTGCTCTCCTACAGCAAGTTAGCTTTCACAGAAATACAATTATGTGCATCTTAACTTGTTTTTAAACTTAATTTAATTGCCTAATATTAAATAAATGACGCTTGTTTATTGATGTAAAAAGTTTATAATACTGAACAGTACACCAAAAAATGCAACTAAATGGTTGTCATCTAAAATTTACTCCGTAGTTAACAACCGTAGCCATTTTAAAAGCTCTCAAGTTTTTACTAAAAACTCGCGCATGCGTACCTAAACATAACACTTTTTCCTAATATCTAAACGACCGTGAATCCGTCAAAGTGCTGTTTAAACAGTTTTTTAAAATTCTAGACCCGATTGCGGTATTTACAATCTGATATGTTTTCAAATTAATTTTAAATGCAAATATTATTAATAATAACATGGTTAATAATAAATATTAAATACAAATGTTATTGAATATTAATAAAAATCTCAGAGTTTTTTTATATTAAAGTACAGCTATAATTCCGTTGGAGATTGCATCGGTCAGTAAAATTTAGATTACACTTTGAAGGATTGGATTTAGTGTTTCCTAGTTAGAAAAATATTGTAGTGAGTTATGTTTGTTTATATAATACTAGTTGTAAATATGTATGTTATTATAATAAATCTTAAATACAAATAAAATAAGTGTTAGTAGATATATATTTAAAATAGTGAACACAATAGTTGGCGACGAAGATCAAATTATGGCAAAAATAATTAATAATTTACCTGGAGTAAAACAGTTTATTATAAATCAAAACGACACAACTAATTTAGACAAACGGTGAGAAACGTGGAAAGAAGATTTTGAGTTATATCTAGTTGCAACTTGAGTCACGCAAGACGCGCAAAAAAAGGCGTTACTTCTGCATCTAGCAGGGAACGATGTAAAAGAAATCTATAAAACCCTGAAAGGAACTGACACCGATCAATACAAGGCAATGTTTGATAAACTGGATCAATATTTCAGTCCGAGAAAGAATATAACATACGAACGTTGTGTCTTTACGAGGATCAAATAAAATAAAGGGGAAAGTACAGTGAGTTACGCGATTAAAAAAACAAGCGGAGAATTGTGCCTTTCCAAATGTTACAGAGACAGTGAAAGATTAGTTTATATCATCGTGTTATTCTTTAAAATTAAAACAAAAACTCCTTAAAGATAGAGAAAAAAATCTCGAGAAATGTATTGAGATTGGTCGAAACATGGAAGTGTCAGAACAACAGGCAAAAGAAATGTCTTATAAAAAAGCAAATGTATGCCCAGAGGAAATCGACGTAGTAGATCATTTAGAAAAACAAACCTTTTTCAGAAGAAGAAAACAAACGACAAACATTAAATCGAGACCTAGTCGAAATTATAATATAGATAAAAAAGAAAATAACTTAAAATATTGTGATGTTTTCGATGTGGGGAAAAGTACTTTGTTGGATACCAAAATGATTGCAAAACCATGGGAAAAATGTGTTTCAAATGTCAAAAGAAAAATCATTTAGCTATTTGTTGCCGAAATACTCTACAACCGTTGTATAGGAGAAACCGACAAGTTAATAAAATAAATAACAAAGCTAAAAGTGAACACAGCTCAGAAAATGAATCAGAAGATACGCTTCCCCTGACATGTAGTTCAACACGGAAAAGATAATCTAATAAAACAAAAACAATAAATGTAATAGTGGAAAATGTGACGATTAAAATGATTATTGACTCAGGTTCCAGTGTGAACTTAATTGATAAAAATACCTTTAAAAAAATTAGAAGCAACAATCCTAATTTAATAATCAAGAAATCATCAACAACCATCTTTCCATATGTTTTGAAGCCTTTAAAATTAATAGGTTGTTTCAAAGCTGAAATTGAAGCTAAAAACAAAATAACTACAAACAATATATATATCGTAGATAAAAATAAGGTTGGAAATATAATGGGAATTGAAACTGCTAAGGAGTTAAACATTTTAAAAATTGCAGAAAGTGTTAAGTTTGTGAATAATAAAGAACACTATATGAATTCAGTGGATAATAAGTCAATTGAAGCTGTACAGCACTCTAACGTGTGTAAAAACATTGATGATAAAATCAAACTTCCAACAAATCAAAATGATAATAGTTTTGAGCATATTGATTCAAATTGTAAAGTCACTTTAAAGTTTAAAAATAATTTGACAAAGTTAATTGCAAAATACGAAGACATATTCGAAGGACATGGTAAATTAAAAAATTTTCAATGCAAACTTTATGTAGACAAAAACATACAACCAGTTGCGCAAAATTTGCGACGTTATCCTTATCACCTTCGAAAAGACATTCGAGCAGAGTTAAAGCGACTTCAAGAAGCAGACATTATTGAAAAAGTTGAAAGACCACAAGAATAGATAAGTAATTTTGTAATTGTACCAAAAGCAAATAAGACAGTAAGGTTATGTCTTGATGCTAGAACCATAAACAAAGCAATTAAATGTGAAAGATACCGAATACCTACATTAGATTCGGTAATTGATGAAATGCATGGTTCAAAAATATTTGCCAAACTAGACATGAGGCCTATACTCAGCTAGAGTTGGATATCGAATCAAAAAAATTACAAATCAAACGGATGAGGGAGTCTACCAACACAAAAGATTAGTGTATGGGATTAACAATTCGTTCGAAATTTTTCAAAAAACTATGGAGCAAAGCTATGGTAGAATAGAGGGAGTAAAATTTATCAGTGACAATATTATAATATACGCATCAGACGAACAAGACTTATTAAAACTTTTGTTCATCAAAACAAGGACATTAGGTCTGAAGTTAAATAAAAAAAAGTGTATTTTTGCTCAAGAGAAAATAAAATTTTTTGATATTGAAATATCTAAAAATGGTATTAATCTTGATCCAAACAAAGTAGAAGCTGTCAAGAATGCAAGATCACCAACATCGGTCAGTGAGCTTCGAAGTTTCCTTGGTTTATGCACATATGTATCAAGGTTTATTAAAGACTTTAGTGAAAAGACAACATTACTATGGGAACTATTAAAGAAAAATTCAAAATTTAAGTGGGGAAAAAAACATTATGATGCTTTCAACATGCTTAAACGTGAGTTATCAAGTGAATCCGTTCTGGCTTTCTATGATCCGCACAAAGAAGTAAAGTTAATCACTGATGCTAGTAATCATGCCATAGGCGGAATACTCTTACAAAAAGAAGGGACATGGAGTAAACCAATCTGCTACATAAGTAGATCATTAACCGCAGCCGAGTTAAAATATAGTATTACAGAAAAGGAAGCTCTTGCCTTGGTATGGGCTATTGAAAAGTTACATTTGTATTTATATGGAAAAAATTTTAAGGTCATAGTGGACCACAAACCCCTCAAGTTCATTTTTTCTTCTGGTTCTAAATTAAATGCACGTATTGCAAGATGGCAAATCAAATTACAGGCATACGATTTCAATGTAATATATCAAAAAGGAGAAGAGAACATTGCAGATTTTATCTCTAGAAACTGTACTCCAAATGAAATACATAGTGAGTCAGATGAAAATGAAATTACAGGATATGTAAATTTCTTAGTGACAAAAATGGCACCCAAATCAATATCACTCGAAGATATAAAACAGAGACACCAACAGACATCAGTTTAATTACAGTAAAAACAGCGTTGTTGTCGGGTAAATGGCATGACAATCCATTACTTGAACCGTATCGTAAATTATAAAATGAGTTAACTGATCACGACGGAATCATATTACGAGGAGAAAAAATTGTTTTACCAAAGACGCTTCAAACAAGACCTTTACAAATTGTACATGAAGGACATTTAAATGTTGAAAAATGCAAAGGCTTATTGCGACAAAAGGTTTACTGGGTCATTATGAATACTGATATTGAAGTACATGTTAAAAAATGTTTGGGATGTCAAGCAAATTTACGTGTTCCAAATCCTGAACCAATAAAAATGTCGAATTTACCAGAACATGTTTGGGATGAATTAGCAATGGATTTTTTCGGACCATTACCGTCAGGAGAGTATTTATTTGTTATAGAAGATTTATATTCAAGATACCCATTTGTTGATATAATAAAAACCACAACAGCTTCAAACGTCATAAGTAAACTCGAAAGATTATTTGCTATATTGGTTATCCTAACAAAATTAGAAGTCACAACGGACCACCGTTTCAAAGCGAAGAATTAAAACTATACTTTAAAAATGCTGACATAAAGCACATTAAAATAACGCCTCAATATCCGCAAGCGAACGGTATCGTAGAAAAATTTATGCAAGTTATAGGAAAAACAATTAAAACAACTCATTTTATGGGAAAAAGTTGGAGAGAGGAACGTCAAAGCATGCTTCGAAATTATAGATGCGCACCTCATGCTACAACTGGCAAACCACCAGCTACGTTATTATTCAATAGAAATATCAAAAATAAGTTTGCTTGAATAATAATTGAAAAATCACCCTATGACAAAGAAGTGAGAAAACGTCAAGATAAAAAGTATAAGAAAGTACAAGATTATTTTGATATGAAACATCATGCAAAGAAGAGACATTAAAGTAGGAGATCAGGTTCTTGTTAAACGCCATAAACCGGGAGGAAAATTAGACTCAAAATATTTAATCAAGAAATATATAGTTAAAGAAAGAAAGCAAAATTTAATCATTGGAGTCGATCAAGAAGGAAACGAGTTGGCGCGTAATATACAATATATAAAAAAACTCTTAAAACTTGAAGCCGAAAGTATACAACGTGAAACACCAGTAAATGATATCGAAAGAAAAATAGTTAAAAGAAAATCATATCTAAAGCGAATTAATAGACCTATAAAGTTTTACTGTTAAAAATTTCTAAACACGATTTATTTATTTGTGTAATAATAGAAACTTTCCCAAACAGGGGGAACTGTTAAAAGTTGGTAACGAAATACATAACATTATGATTGGTAAGAGTGCGTTCATGTGGAACGCATTAGAACTCGTGCGTTAGTTAAAAAGATATTGTAGTGAGTTATGTTTGTTTATATAATACTAGTTGTAAATATGTATGTTATTATAATAAATCTTAAATACAAATAAAATAAGAGTTAGTAGATATATATTTAAAATAGTGAACACAACAACAACTAATCTTACATTAAATTATAACCAAACCAAATTTCATAAATTATAATTAAATTGTTAAATTTTAATATTATGGATAAATAAATAGATAAAAAAAAATCTTTAAATACCATATAGTGATTAATTGTTAAATAAAAACTGCACTTTGTAATAATATACGTCAATAAATATTACTCAATATATGTCGATAATAATTACTCAAGATTTGAAGGATGTTGATGACGATGAAGTAGAGTATAGAGCAGTGAGAGAAAAGAAAGTAAAAAATAGAGAAGTGTTGATTGAGTTTGATCCATCTTCAAAAAGATCTTCAGAATGGATGGATTTTAAGAGCAGGTCAAATGATTCTTTTACGGCGAATTAAATTCACTGTCACGGTGTAGTTGAAAACCGAACAAATGTGTTCATATGTAAAAATAGTCAACTTATTATCAATCGTATTTATCTATATAATTATTTTTATTTATATTATATATATAATCGTATTTATTTATATAATTATAAATAGTAAACAAATGTAATAGTATACATATTTGAATAGGAAAAGCTTCAAGTACTGAACATTTTAAAACATCATCACAAATTGTTAGAGCTCAGATTGATAAAGAATCAGCAAATAGCAAAAAAAAAAAAGAAAAAAAAATACTGATAGTTATACGCCTATTTTACAAAATACCTATATAGATGCTCTAGTAAAATGAGCAGTCATGACGAAGCAAGTATGATAGGTTCTTTAACGTTTTTTAAACAGTATTAGTGCGGCCGTGGCGCAGTGGTCACAGCGCTTGCTTTATAAGCAGGGGATCCAAGTTCGAAACGAGCTCTAAACATATTTTGGCGTCATGGTAAGAAAGGAGGCGTGAACTTCCTGTTAAATGCATTTCAGCGGTGCTCTGTGACAAGACCGTTAGGTCTTCTTGGGACACCTAAATAACAAAAAAAAAAAAAAAAGAAAGTATTCTGCAGCGGTTGGAGCTCCTGAGTATGGTTGGTTAGCCAACATTGCACATATTTTAAATTTAATAAAAAAAGAAGTACAAGATCATGGGAACCAAATATAAGGAAAGCTTGTGATTTGACTATTCTATTGCGTTCGTACGCATTATTTTTTTAAAAATCAACCAAATTATTACAATACTCTCGAACGTACTATCTGCCTTTAAACCCCCTTCCTTTGTAAGTACTCGTACGTCTAAGGGTAGTTAACTTGATGGTGGTTAACTTATGCTAAAGTTATTCGACATCTCACATTAAGAATATACATTGCAACACTTTAAGATGTCCGTGAAAGGGTAACAATCAACCTAATCAAGAAAGAGTGGGAGAATATTGAAGCATACTAAAATAATACTACATCCTTTTAAGCTGCTTCAAGAGTTTTTGGGAGGTCAAAAGTATGTTACTATTAGCAATATACCATTAGCAAAATTAGACAAAACTTAATGATCTAAGATGGAGAGAATGCAATTTTTCTAGCAAACTTTGCGCTGCGCAAAGTACTGCTACGTGATTTTAATATTAGATTTGGTTCAGGTGTAACATAGGTACTGTAGTCATGGTACTGTAGTTGGTGATCAATTATGAGAAGATCTATACAATCGCCCAATAGGTTTTAGTATTCATACGCTCTTAGCAGTCGCATTTGAACCAAGAACAAAAAGTTTTATAGAAGTCGAACCTAGAAGATATATATAAAAAAATTATTAAAGAATGAGCAGTACGAGCATTTAAAAACAATTAAATACTATATAACTATAAACGATTAATTATCGTATATATATTGTATATATATATCGTATATATATATCGTATATATATAGTATTAGATAGTATATATATAGTATTATCGTATATATATAGTATTATTGTATATATATATCGTATATATATCGTATATATATATCGTATATATATAGTATTAGAAGCACATCCTGGTGCTATTATTAGAAGAGATGGTTGCCAAAATATATTAGCAATGATAAATAATGTTTAGTAAATGATGATAATAATGAAGATATTCCTTGTCATATAATTGCATGGCATAATGCATGATCGAAATGTGAAAATATGTAACGAATTATTTAAACTAGGTACTTCTAGGTGCTAAAAACACAAAAGGGGAGGTTTATTAATTTTTGGAAATTTTTCTCATCCACCCCATACTTGTAAAAAACCCTCTACCTCTGCCCCCTCCTCCCACTGTTTATTAGCTTTAACTTTTGAAAAATTAATAAACAATAATTTTCACACAGTGAAAAAAATACTTGTCTTACATGGGTTCCATGAATTCCTGACAGAATCCACATGGAACCCATGTGCGACAAAAAAAACATCTCGAAACTAATTTAAAAAAAAACAACAGAAAATATTTATATAAGTATTTTCTGTTGATTTTTTTTTAATCAAGGTTTAAGATATTTTTTAGAGATCGAAAATTTTTAAAGCCTGGTTACACTAAAAGTTTTTATTCTTATCAGTGACTGATATATATATCAGTCACTGATATATATATATATATATATATATATATATATATATATATATATATATATATATATATATATATATATATATATATATATATATATATATATATATATATATATATATATATATATATATATATATATCAGTGACTGATATATATATCAGTCACTGATATATATATATATATATATATATATATATATATATATATATATATATATATATATATATATATATATATATATATATATATATATCAGTCACTGATATGAATAGAAACTTTTAGTGTAACCAGGCTTTAAAAATTTTCGATCTCTAAAAAAAATCGTAAACCTTGATTGTCAAAATTATTTGTTTATTTCTTACCGTAGCATAAAACTTATATAAGCGCATTAAATCCTACTGAAATTATAATGAAACAGCTTTTAAAATAAAGCACTTTTGGCCGCAAGCTACAATAGAATTAAATCGTTTTATTCGTGTCTTGTACCCGCCAAATTAATATAGGATCCTACCGTTTCTTCATGGAAGTATAAAACAGGTGGAAGTTCAACTGCATTGAAATGCTTCGGGACTATGCTTATAACCTTTCGTTTCGTAAACAATAAGAAAACGACATCAAAACTACTGTTAATTATACGTTGGCGCAAATACGTTCGTTTATAGTTATATAATAATAACGGTGTCGCGTTAAATACAGTCATTCTGGGTAACTTTGAATTTGCGGGTAACATTGAACTAAACGTGTAAATGTTTTTAAATTTTTTTTTCTTTGGTATTTTCTTTGCCTGTTGCTTTAACAAAGAATAATATGATGAATTATCTTTTTTTACAAAAGTTTGACCAAAGAAAATTAAATTTGATTTCTCAAAAATAATGTTTTCCTCCATTTTCAGTTACACAGTCGAATGTGGTGATAACATCGTGTGTTTTCAATTTAGAATATTTGGTATTATATTGTAATTATCTGAATAGATTTTTAAGTATTTTATTGAATTATTTTTCGAACTTTAATACAAACTCAAAATAATAGGATTTAACATGTTTTTTGCTACAAAAAGGATATTTATTTCCACTTAGCTAAAATATAACCAAATTCAGGGTAACTTTAGACAATCAATATTTTCCAAAAATGAATTTTTTGCTGTCTGAGTAACATTGCAATAATACATAATAAATAATAGACATCCTTTTATTATAGTATTTTTATTATATAATGATATATGATACTATAAATAGCAAAAATTATAATATCTATTACTATTATATTATATTAATTTTTGATATTTATGGCTATCTTGATAGATTTAATAATATATTTTATTAATAGCAAATATGCAATTAATTAAACAATTTTCATTAATAACATAAATCATCTTTATATTTTTAGCATTCATAAAATGCCAAGAAAATGTTTGACAACTCATCCTGGCACAAGAAAATATGGCACTAAATCTAATTACACCAATTCTACACTTCAAGAGGTTTTAGCCAAAATTAAATTAGAAAAAATGTCGATTGGTGAAGCTTCTAAAATTTATAAAGTACCTAAAGCAACATTATTTTATAAGCTAAAAAGTAAACACTGTAAATCAGTAGGGCGCCCTATTGCCCTTAGCATTGATGAGGAACTTTGTTTTGAAAATCACTTACTTTATTTAAGTGACAAAGGTATACCAATTGGAGTTAATGAATTTAAAAGTATTGTCAAAATCTATCTGGATGGTAGTGGAAAAAATATACAACAGTTTAAAGATAACCGACCAGGTTGGGAGTGGTGTAAACTTTATCTTGACAGGCATCCATCATTAAAAGAAAAAGTATCTCATTGTATTTCAAGGAAACGTGCACAGATTAATTATTGTCAAATAAAATTATTTTTTCAAAATCTAGAGAAGGAATTAAATGGAGTAACGCCAGATAACATTTACAATATGGATGAAACAAGGTTTCATGATGACCCTGGAAAAAAAAAACTGATTTTTCGTCGATCCTTTCGCCATCCAGAACTTATAAGAAACACAACAAAAACTTGTTACACTGTTGTTTTTTGTGGAAATGCCTCAGGAATACTAATTCCACCATTTTTCATTGTTAAAGGAAAACACAGTTGGTCTGACTGGCTTTTCAATGCACCAGAAGGATCAAGAATGGCAACTTCTTGCAGTGGCTGGATGGAAATTCAAATATTTGAAGAGTGGCAGTTAAATCACTTTATTCCAAATATTATAAATAAGGAAGGTAAAAAAATTCTGATTTGCGATAATTTAAGTGCTAATATATCTTTAAAAGCCTTAAATACATGTGAAAAGCATAATATAACATTTCTATGTTTGGTACCCAATTCCACACACCTTTTACAACCTTTAGATGTTGGATATTTCTCGAGTTTAAAAGCTGATTGGAGGTCAGTTCTTAATCAATGGCGTAAAACATCCAGAGGAAAAAAGGTTAATAACCTGCCAAAAAATTTGTTTACGCAGCTCATTAATGTTGGTAAAGAAAATCTAGAACATAATCTCCAAGCAGGATTTAAGGCTACTGGCATATCCATTTGTACCAGAACATGTTCTTTCCAAATTACCCAGTTTTACAAATATAGATATTCAACTCAACATTGGAGAATCGTTTAGGAATTATGTTGATGATATTCATCTTAATTATGAAGTAAGCAAAAAATTTAAGTTACCAACAACAGCAGGGAAAAGTGTATCAGCCACTGAGGTAGAAGCATACTATAAGGAAAGAGACAATAAAAAAAAAAGTCAAGATAATATTCGAGCAAAGAAAAGAGGAAGACCACTTGGATCAAATAATATGGTTATGAAAATAAACCAAAAACTTAATATTTTACAAAGTTCAAGCATCGTAAATGTTAATTAAGTTATTGAAGACAATGAACAAGTTTTACCTGTATCTCAAAATGATGCAGTTTTTTCATTGGAGCAAATAAACAATTACTATGTACATGTTTTCCTTGATCATGATTATTTTGTAAAAGAGTTAGTTGTAACTCAAGACTAAAAGAATGAAACACTGTAATATTTAGTTTTACAGTCAATGGTGTTTATTTGTGGAGAATTATATAAAAATAATGTCTTAATTATTTTTTCTTTTATAACCTTAAATATTATTTTGTGAATATTTTATTGAAAAACTTGTTTGTTTATTCTCGAAATATTTTATTGAAAAACTTGTTTGTTTATTCTCGAAATATTTTATTGAAAAACTTGTTTGTTTATTCTCGAAATAGTTTAACTAGATTTTTTAAAAAATTAATTTAAGCTAATACAAAGAAATTTAAACAACTTTTTAGATTTAAAAAATTAAAATTGACATTCAGTTTAATAGTGTTCAAAGTTACCCGAAATGCGAGGGTAACTTTGAACGCCTACTTAAACATTGTTTTTTTACATAATATCTAGCAAATTTAAAAAAATGATAACAAACTAGAAAAAGAGATCATCAGAACACTCTTTATGTAAAAATATTTGTTATCTAGTTAGTAAAACAATTTTTGTTGAGATAAACCTAGCACAAACCGACAGTCAGTTCTGCGCAAGCGTGACGCATGCGCAAATACGTGTAAAGCTTCCGTTAGGTAAGTCATGTTTATCGTTAAATAAGTAGCCTTGTTTACGTTAGGTATAAACTTAAAAAACAAAAATAATAATATTTTTAAATTTTTTAAAACTGTATAATTAAATTACCAGTCTATAATTACTCAGTTGAAAATGCTTAGCAGTATGCCGCTGGTGGAATAATATATTATTATAATAAAAAATGTCAACTTTGTGGTAGGTGTATATAAAAGTTAAACTTTTATATAATTTATGTTTAAGAGTTTATGATTATTGTGTATATACACAATAAAAATCCTAAAACAATTGTAGTTTTTGAGATGCTGAGACATAGTACAAAATTAACTTCAGAAACATACAATATTATAAAATACGTATTTTATATCATTGTATGTTTCTTAAGTTAATTTTGTACGATGTCTCAGCATCTCAAAACCTACAGTTGTTTTGGGACTTCCATTTTATGCATTGACTTATTTGTCAATTTTGCCTAAAACTATTAGTTAATTTTGCTGTATATTTAAGTGTTACAATTAAGTATTACTAAAAATATTTATTAAAAACAGTCTAAGATTAAATTAACTGTAAATTTATTATGGATTTGAACCTAATTTTTATAAAGTGACCCTAGGAACAGTCCAAAAAAAGCTTATTGTTCTAGGGCCACTACTTTTTAAACCCTTCTACTTGATGGAATTTTATTCGTATAAGTCAATATACTTATACAAAGTAATTAGTATAGAGATATGATTGTATCAGTTTCGCCATTTTTACACAAACTTCCCCTAGACTTTGTTCGACCTCTTGCTTTAATAAAACTCGGAAAAAATGTATTATTAAAATTACTGATTGTTAAAGTAAATATACTGAAAAAATAACAATTTATGTAACTACTTTATTTTATAGATTTTTGATACTCTTCAAAAAATTCTAAAATTTTAGATTATTTGATATAGTCTGCTTATTTTCATCAATCCGATCAACAAGAAAAAGGTTCAGAGTTTAAACTGGTAATGGTATTACCAGTTAACAAAATACTTTGAAATTAACAAAGTGCTTTGAAAAAAGCTATTTGTTAATGATAGTATCATTGTAAAAATGGGCTGTCAAAGTTCAAATGTTTCTAAAGTTTTCTTTAAAGTCTTTCAATACAGTCTAAAGACAAGGCCTTATATTAGAGACTCATCTGGCTGGCCAGATGACACCTTGATTGATATAGCACAAAGTTTGTTTTTATATCAGTTTTCTAAAATATTTAGATTTCCAAGTTTAAAATATCTGAGATTTTTTGCATTTTTACTTGTTTTAATTCAAGTGGTTTTTCAGAAAGTTATGTTGGGTGTTTCTAAGTAATGTGTCCTGATGTTGTTTCACATTGAAAGTGTGTTCAGTTTTATGATTCACTCTTTAATAGTTTAAGTAAAGTTGATGTGCCATTGTTAGTGCATAGAGTTGTACATGAAAATGATTGTGATTTTTTTTTTAAAAAGAAATGCGACGGTATGATGGTGCGACAGTATATTTGTGTAACAGTATCAACCTAAGTTTGATTATATAAAAAGGTAATGAAATGAGCTAGCATTACCTGAAATATATTGAGAATGGAACATTAAAGATGTTACCTTTTGTTACTATGTTATACTTTCATAAAAGGTGTGCCTTTAGTACAATTACTGTTGTGAATGTATCTTATTATTACTGCTGTTTTTGTTTTTGTTTTTATGACTTATTTGAATATTTAAATTCAATAATTATATGTAAATAGATTTTTTTTATTTTATTGTTGGTTTGTTTATGTTTGTTATTGTTTATGTTTTTTTTTTATTGTTGGTATTGTTTATGTATGTTTTAGTTAATATTTAAAAAGTTCATTACTTATTTTATTTTTGTAAATGTCTTATAGATTTGTAAAGTTATACAATTGGCTAATTTAGGTCAACTAGTGCTTGTTCTTTATTTTGTTACTGGCATGATTTGTTTTGCTCACTTTGTAGTTTTTTTTTTTTTCTTACTGTCATCAGTTATTCATTTTATCAACAAGGGTTATTGATATAAGATATTGTTAATAGGTACAGTTATAAAAGACAATTCTTTATTTACTTACTTTTGTTGCGGTTGCAGTTAACTATAGCTGCTATTACAACTATACCAAAAGTAGTATTTAAGAATATGGCTATGTAATTTTTAATTATAATGACTTATTTGATCAATTTTTTTTATAGAATATTGTGAAAGTATAGACTATTCTGGCATGTTGATACCATGGCTGTTTCAACATTTATATGATTTATAAATTCAAATCCTTCTGGCACACATTTAGAGTTCATTTTATACATCAATTTATTGACATATATTGATCAATGCATTTAATAAGTACTCTTCTGGTACAAAAGCAGGTACTTTTATTATTATTTTTTTTATTTGTTACGATTTTATGATACTACTTATATTTTACTATATTTCTATACTATATAGGCTTGTAATTCCATGTGGAAAAATCGAATTTCTTCCAAAAATGCCAAAATTTCAACCAAGTTGATATTTTTTAAAAGAACTTAAAAACCATGTTATTTTATTTTGCTATTTATATTGTGTAAAGATATTTTGATCTTATTTTTAAAATAAAGTTTTAGTGTAGCATGAAGTGTGTCGTTTTTTTAATGTCGTTTTTATTTAAAACATTACATCGTAAGAAATAGTAAACTAAGTTTAGGTAACATTTTATTATTATTGTGCTATACATACACCGCTAAAATCGTCGAATAATACCTGTCTAGGTTGTTATTCAACGGTAGTACAGTAATGGTGTAGTGGTAGAGCGCTCGCCTCATAATCGAGAAGTCCTGAGTTCGATCACCACCACGTCCCTGGTACTACCGCGCTCAACTTGTTTCTCCGCGTTGCGGTTTTGTTCGTCATGGTTTGTGTTTCGGAGTTAAAGAGTTGCGAGAGGGTTGTAACCAGAACTAAAGCAGCCTCCACGACTGGAGTGGCTTTTTCATCGTTGAGAAGGTAAATTAACACACAAAAAAAGACTTGACGCGAATTAATAAATTCTCTTCTTTTTTCTGTGATAACATCAGAATACTTTTCAGGGGCGGATCTAGGGTACGTCTAGTACGTCTGTAGACGTACCCAAAAATAAAAATAAATCTAAAAAAAAAAGTTTTTATATTATTTCAATATTGCGTATAAAAATAATTTTTTTTAGTTTAACCGTTAAGTGAATTAAATTTTAATTAACTTTATTGAATGTGAATTAAAATCTAAAGTGAATTAAGTTTTATTACCTTTATACAAACAGTAATTAAAAAAAAAAAAAATTCGCTTCTTGTTTAGAGTAATTAAAGTTGCTTTTTGTTTAGAGCGGTAAATAAAAAAATCTTTTTTAACTGGAGGTTAAGGTAATAATAAAAAAATAATATTTAATTAGAAAAGTCAATGGACGTACCCAATATTATTTTGTTAAACGATAAAAAACGTTTTTAAATTTTTATTTTTTTTGTTATAAAAGCAAAACTTCAATTTCTTCAGTTATAACAATTTTTGGACGTACCCAAAGCAGTACACCCTAAGTAAAATCTTAGTTAAAATCTATTGTTTAGCGATAATCAGGAGGTGAAATATATTTTAATAGTTACTACATATCAAAATAAAACAATGGACGTACCTAACATTATTTTTTTCTGTGATTGAACTTTTTATTTAGTTTAGTTTTCAATATTTAAATTTTAAGCAATCGATTTTATTTATGAAAAAACACTGTCGGACGTACCTTCCAACTTTCACCCTGAAATATTTAAAGTTTATTGTGATATTCAAAATGTTTCGACTATATATATACAAAGTTTTCTTAATAAATCGTGTTTGCAACATGTTCGTGTTTATGCTGGTGATAAAATTCTTCAAGATCAGCTTAGATATTTTCAACAAAAAACACTTCTTACATATCTAAGACACCATAATATCTGGTAAAAAAAAGTGTTTCAGAGAAGTTAATAACAAAATAGTTTAAAAATTTTAAAAATTTTTCTGATGAAGCTTCTGACAATTAAAGTAGAGAACAACTACTTTTAATTATATGGTTTGTTGGTTCAAAGTTCAATAAGAGAATTTATCAGTTTCTTAGATTGCACAAATGGTGTTACTAGTACGGAATATTTTATTTTTTGATAAAAAATATTTTGGATTCCTTTTTTAATATCATGAATTGTGATATGGTGGTGGTAGAGCAATTTATTTTAGATTTATTTAAACACCCACTATACAAGTAAGGTAAATTAAGAGTTTCATACAAGATAAATATAAAAAATCTTGGAAATTTTTTTTTTTTTATTTCAACGTGATCATCTTGGAATATGTTTTTCAAGAATGTCCTTGAAGATAGTTCTCTGCTCTTTTAAGTTCCACTACTCAACTGCACATTTTAGAGAATGAAGATCCGTTTCAGCAATTAAATTTTTGAGGCTGACAATTTTTTTTTTTTTTACTTTCCATTATTGTCTCCAGATTTAGTTCATGATTATTGCACAACCCTTTGATACTATCTAAAAAATATTGTGGGGCTGTTTTGTTTTTCAGCTGCGACCTAATAATATCATGTCATTTTACTGTTCATCAAACAAATAAATAAGTTTAGCTTGTTTTGTTGTATAATAATTGATATATCTTCAATAAAAAATAAGTTATGAATATAATTTTTGCTATATTTTGAAACATCGAGGAGTGACTTAAATGCATTTCTTCCAACTATATCAAGCTTTTGCATTAACATTTTTTTATGTTCACACAGCTCAAGACCATACGTTAGTGTTGGAACAGCTAAAGTTTTATATAACTGAACAATGGAGTTTGGGTGAGGATTGATGGTCACACTAAAGATTTGTCCTCTTGTATTTTAAATCTAAATGAAAAAGCTGCATATGCTCATTGCAACAGTCATAGACTTAATTTAGTTATTTGTGCCTCATACAAAGTGCAATATGTCAAGTATCTTTTTAGCGCTATGTCATATTTTGCAATATGACAAGTATCGTTTTTGGCACACTTTAATGAGGTATCACTTTTTAAACTTGTACATATCAGGCAACAAATTTTAGAGGAGCATATTGAAAGTACCGTTCCATATTGAACATGTTGGGTGGAAAAGGTTTACTTTTTTTTTGGATAGTTTTTAAGAGCATAGTACTAGTTCCTACAAAAATGATTTCAGAAGTTCAATTATATCTTTTAGTGAATTTTATGAACAGATCTACTGAATTCCCATGCTTTAATTTTGTGAGCTTCATTTATGTGAAGCATTTTAGTTAAATTTAAAAAGGTAGTTTCAATATTAATGTTACTGAGCTGTTAAAAGTGATAAATTTTCCTGGTTGTAAAAACATTAAAAGTTTACATGCTACTTTTCCGATAACTTCATGTGAATGTGAGTGGATATATTATTCATTTTGGCGCCTAAAATATATATGTTAAGCACCCTGGTATAATGCCAAACAATAATAACACCGATTTAGTGTTATCATTTTTATATATAGAAGTTGTATTTGTTATAATTTTTTAATTGATTTTTTTCAGTTTTTATGTTTTAATCAGCAAGATTTATTAAAAAAAATTTTTTTTAACAAAATGTGGCATTAAGAATGCATCTCTAAATACCTCTTTTTATAATTTAAAATTGCATATTTAATATACAATATTTTATTATAATTTGTGTTATTTTATAATATATTTGTAAAAATAGAAATATAAAATTTTGCATTGTGTAATTTATTTTATTAATGGTAATGTAAAAATATAGTTTTTAATAATAGATCTGTAAATAATGTGTAAATATATAATTTTATAATCTAAAAGTAAAGTGCCCCGGTGATAACCTTGCATATTTTTAATTGAAGAAAGGCTCTTATTAGATTAACTTAATAGACCTCTTTTAATTATAGACCTCGGTTAATCTTGATAGATTAACTGAAGATGGTCTTCCATGTATTTTTATGCTTTTCAACTAACGACTAGAGACACCAAAAAAAAAAAAAAAAATTCTCAATATTTCCAATATGCCAACTATAGTTCAAAACTTGCTCAATGTGCTAACTCAAATGCTATAAATGCATTGATTATTAAAAACCGAGTAAATCTGATGTTATATGTTCAGATTATTTCATGGAGAGTGACATAAATATATATATATATATATATATATATATATATATATATATATATATATATATATACATATATATATATATATATATATATATATATATATATATATATATATATATATATATATATATATATATATATATATATATATATATATATATATGTGTGTGTGTGTGTAAATTATGTATACAGGGTGGCCAGCCACTTTCAACAATTAAATTCCCTGACTTTTTATATTTTTCCATGACTCGTTTATATTTTAAAGTGTGAATTTTTAGGTTTTGTTGTTTGGGAGTAAGTTAAAAAAAACCTTTAAAAAAAATTAAATTTTCAAAAAATACATTTTTCCCTGATTTCCCTGCCTAGAAAAAAATTCCCTGACTTTTCCATGATTTCCAGTTGGCTGGCCACTCTGGTATAATATTATTATAATAGGATGCAAGTGTATATTAGTATGCACCTTTTGATTCTTAATTACCCTCTGCAAAATGCCTGAGGCTTGTAACATATTTGCAAGGTAAACAGCTTACAAGTTTGAATCATTAGTTAGGCAATGTGATTGTAACACAACCTAAAGGTTCCTTAGGCAACATATAGCAAATCTTTATATTTACTTTTAATAATTTTGTTCTTGCGTGTGTGTGTGTGTGTATATATATATATATATATATATATATATATATATATATATATATATATATATATATATATATATAAATTAACTTAACGCTTAACTGTCGAAAAATACTTTCAAGACATTTTTGTAAATGCCACTAGACATTTTCACAACACCAGAACATTTGTATAAGATATTGCAATTTCAAAAGAATATGTTAAAGTAAAAAAATATAAATAAAATAATAGTTAGTTCTATCATCTTGAACAAAATAATCATTGAATAACTTGTATAAGCATTGAATAACAAAATAAACATTGAATAAAAAGGTGGTAGGGAAAAGTAAAAAAGTATGTACACTTAGAAAAAAAATTGTTCACCTCTCATTTTGGTCTTTTATGTTGCTTATTTGTTTTCACAAGAAATACTTTTTAATATTTATTAATTATACAACTAATATTTATCAGTATAAAACGGATAGATGTTAGCTAAATCATTTTTATTTTACTTCAGATTCAATAGTTTTAAAAAAACTTGAAAGGAACAAAAAAAAAAAAAAAGTCTGTTTTCATTTATACCATATTTACATATAACAATCAACATGTGTGTGATGCTGTTATTTAGTCTAAAACACTAAATACTTTAATGTAAACCTGCAAATAACTAGTTATCACCAAATATCTAGTGTTTTTTAAAGTTAGAGATGGCTTTTTCAAACCTTCACAAAGTGTAATTAAAGTTAACAAAGCAACAGAATAAAACATTGTTATTAAGTGATATCAATTTTAATAAAGTATTGCATAGTTGATGATATTTCAGTTGTGGAACAATATAAACATGCCATCAGAGTTTCAAAAATTAGAAAACCATTTACAAAAATGTTTGACACAATGTTTTTATCATGTTTTATACTTGTAAAGTTACTTTCCAGCTACTATTGCTAAGTAAGGTCGCATCAAGTTGTTAAAATAAATACCCAAAAGTAACCAGATCAAATATGAATTTGTCTTTCAGAAAAGTTTTATTTAGAATATCATGAATTCAATAAATTTAACAAGTTCATAGAAAGCAATACAAATTTTATTATTTCTTTATAGCGATATTTCTCTTCGTCGTTAATGTTTTGCGTGTTTTTGATTCCCTTATATAATTTTTACACCTTCAAACATTTTAAATATAATAATATCATTGAAATATGTGACTTGGTCGAGTAGATAAAAAGGTACATCTTCAAGCGCAATCACTGTATTTTCGGTATTCTGGGGCTTTCCAATATGGCGGCCGTACAAAAAATTGGCTTCACTTTTGATAATAGAGATGCGCTATCCAGTTATTATAGAGATCAGTGGACTTACTACGTTAAATAAGTATCCGTAAACTAACGCATGCGCAGAATATCATTTTGTCTACTTATTTAACGATCTACTTATTTAACGTGGCGTTTTTAAATTACTGCGTTAAAATTTTACTGCGCGGAAGTTTTCAACCGTTCAAACTTCTTTTGCGGTAAAATAATAACGTTAAAATAATACTGAGCTAGTAATATTTTAACGTTATAATTTTACTTCACTCGTTATAATTTTATTGGCTTTTTAGTTTACAATTTATACAGCTTATTTTGCCAAGATGTACAAAAATATTAACTTTAATGATGTCAGGAAATATTTAAATGACAATACTTTTCCTGAAGATGTGAATGAGAAAGGAAAAAAAGCAAATTTTAAACGGCAGTGTACAAACTTTGTTATTGTTGACAATAAGTTGATGCATTGAGCAGGTTAGAAAAACTTATTTTATTGAAAGAAGCAACGTAATTTCAAATTAATGAAAGATCCCTCCAAAGAAATACCTTCAAAACTATATTTATGCAAAGATGATGGTAATTTTTTTTTGTTGAGCAATTTTGATTTTGCTGACAGGTTCTGAGAGTCAACATATACGTGTTCACGATGTTGTTGTTAAGCACATGGTATCAAAAACTTGTTCTAGTCTTTTGTCGGGATATTTAGGTGATGATTTGAAAAACTATATTACCAAAAGTGGTATGGCCATAGATTGGGCTACAGATGTTGAGATCCTTGGTACTGAAAATTTTATTGGAATTGATATTGCAGTGTGTTCTTTCACTGGACAAAAACTAACATGGCTCAAATATCCAGCATCCCTCACAATTATTATTTTTGTTGCACATTGCCGCACAATTAAGAAAAATCGCTTAACTTGATGACAGTAAAATAATAACGAGCACAGTAAAATTATAACGTTAAAATATTACTGTCTCAGTAATATTTTAACGTTATTATTTTACTGCATAAGATGTTTGAACGGTTGAAAACTTCTACGCAGTAAAATTTAAATGCAGTAATTTAAAAACGCTACAACGGTTCGCCAATAATATTCAAGTATAAAAATTGAAAAATGACGTAACGAAACAACAAACAACAACATTTTTATAAACTTTTTGTTAAATGAATGGAGTATTACAAGAATGAATGGAATTATGATATACAGCTAATGAAATTCAAAGCTTTAGTTATTTAGAAAAGTTTTTTTTTGATTTTTTAAAATATGCTTTAGTTGAATTTTTAATCAATTGTCGTGTTATGATTTTAAACAAGAAAACAAGGCTAAACTAACATATGTTATAAAAATAAATTTTAGTATTAGGCACCCGAGACTAATAATTTTAAATATGTTATTTACTATATCAATAATATATATAAAAAATGGCGCGGCATGCAGTGGTTTTTTTTTGGTTACCTTTAAACCATTTACGTGGCAAAACCTCAATGTCCAACCTATCTCGCTACGCTACTGGCTACATGTATGATATGGTAGAGTGTGACGTAATAATTTATTTGAACTAATTAAATATTCATATATTTTTTAAAATCAGAAAATAATTTTTAATTTAGGGTTTTTTTATAAAGTACGTACGGGGAAGAGAACGCTTTAAGATAGCGCGGTTTGAGTCTCATTTTCTACATTTCCTAAAATTTCATTTCATTTTTTTAAACAAAAGCATCGAATTCCACAAGTTTAAAAAATCAATATTAAGTTGTGTATCATAAATTAACTAAATTTTTTTCCTTTAGGGTGGAATGCAAAAAGCGAACTTGAGTCAAGCTCGACTTGAACTTTACATTGCAACCAATAGCGACAGAGTATGGGTTTTTCCCTCAAAAAATACTCTGCTGCTATAGGTTAGTGAGGAGGGATTTGTTTTAAACGTACAAGTGTGTACAATAGGAAAAAAAAAGAAAAAAAAAAGGCGGGGGGGGGGGTACTAAACCTGTTATTTTACTGCGTACGTACTTTATGCAAATTGAGCAACCGTGGTCCCAGCGGGCATTTGTTTTTTAAAGTTACGTTCTAAATGCATTTTAAACGTTTTCTAAACATTCTTACGTAAAGAACGTTTAAAAGACGTTTAAAAAACGTTTAAAAGACATTTAGAACGTCACTTTTAAAAACAAATGACCGTAGGTGTAGTAATTGGAGTTCTGGCTTTAAAATTGGAGGTCCGCTGTTTAAAGCCGGCCTCGGCTATATATGCATCACTGGTAAGGAAAGAGGTCTGAATTTCCTGGTAAAATTCTATTCCGCACTGCTTTGTGATAAGGCTGTTAGCACTTCTTGGAGCACCTAAATAACTACTAATAATAAAAGCTAACTAATAATAAAAAGCTGAAGTTGATCACCATAAACCAATTAGCCGCAATACCTAGACTTAAATCTGTGCAACCAATAGCGACAAAAACACTCTATAAGCTTCTCTCTTATGGATATATTACTTGGGGTTTTGTTTTATTATTGGAAAATAATAAAAAAAAGCATTAAAAGTATTAAACTGTGGTGAAAAAAATATTTTTAAAGGAGGAAACAAAGTTTGTTAGGTCACGTTCTACTAGGTATCAAGTTAGGTTTACACATCTACAGTATAGCTATATGTATATTTGAGAATATAACAAAATAATCGATTCAATGTGTACACTTTAAAAAAGTTTAAATTAAAAAAAAAAGAAATTTTTTTGAGACAACAAACTTTTTAGCAAGTTCGCGGCAGTCCTTAATGCAATCAGCAATGTAATTACTGTTAGTATAACGCTGCGTTGTTTAAAACAACTTTTGAAATGCAAACATAACTTATTCATAACCTAATGTCTCTTTAAGGGTGCCCAGCACTATGACGTACAAACCCCTGACACTAATGGGTTAAAAATAAATTGATCCAAGATTTGTTTTTGTTCATTAGTAAGGGGTTGTCCATAAAGTACGTACGCTTTTTTTTCGCCCCCCCCCCCCCGCAGTTTGCCGTACGCTTTTTTGAGTTCTCTCTACCTCCCTAAAGCTTGGTTTCCAATAGTTGTAGAAATGTTGTGCAACAGTTGTGCGTTTTTGTTGTACAACAATTGTTGCCAAAATAGGTTTAATTCTATCTCCGCAACCTTTGTTTTACAACATAAATTTTGATGTACAACCGACGTTAAGCTGTGCAACTTACGCAAGAAAATGTTTCCATTATAAAGCATTATTGTTGTACAACTGTTGTACGACATTTCTACAACTATTGGAAACCAAGCTTAAAAGTACTTACGCTTTTAACCTACTAACCCAACATTTTATGATATTTTTTTTATTTTAGTGTCTCCATACTTTTATAATTGACCTACCGCCCCCTTATCTCAGAAACGCCATTTGCAGACCTCCTCTTCCTCTCCGAGCGTACGTACTTTATGGACGATCCCTAATTAGTGCGTAGTAATAAGTAGAACCTCGAAATTTACGTCAAAGGAATTAAATTCAAAACTTATTTGAATTGATGAGTGTTAAAAGGGCGAAAGGCCAACAATGTAAACTTTCGAAAATTAAAGAAAAACTACATTTTTCCCATAGTAAATTTTTGTTAATGGTTTAATAATTTTTTTCTGAAGAGGATAATGCCTTGAAAAAAAAAATCATTAAACCATTGACAAAAATTTATTACAAAAATTATTATTTTTTTTAGTTTCTCAAAAGTTTACATTGTTGGACTTCCGCCCTTTTAACATTCACCGATTCATTTGGTAATGTAAATCGCAAAGAAGGGCGAGATATACTTGGTTTACTTTGAACTATATTCTAAACAGATAACTTTTTATTTATTTTTATTTTAAATTTCCTCGATTACCCCTCTGTTTAACTCTAGTTGAAAATTTATTTCAACTTCTTTTTTTATTTCTATTTGAAGATTTTTAGGATTATCTTTAGCAATCTGACTATTTGTTAATTACTCTGAGTGATTATCTTTAGCAATCTGATTATTTGTTAGTTGCTCTGAGTGATTATCTTTAGCAATATGATTATTTGTTAGTTGCTCTGAGTGATTATCCTTAGCAATCTGATTATTTGTTTGTTGCTCTACGTGATTATCTTTAGTAATGTGACTATTTGTTAGTTGTTCAAAGTGATTTTGTACCACCTGAGAAATTCTTTGAACAGAAGCCAGTTCTATATGATTAACTGCAGAATCTTTGAATTGCATCTCCTACATATTTAAAGTAATATAGTTATCTTTTCCTGATCACACAAAAAATATAATACGTAAATAATTTGAAAAGGGTATTAACTTTTTGTTAAAAACTAGGGCTTGATAGTATCTTACTTTTAATTAAACATTTTTACGTTTTTACACGACAGTGAACATGTTAGAGTTAGAAACTTGCACATAACAACAATTCTATGTATGATTTAATTTTTACCAATGTAAAAATGGTTTTAACTAATGGTTTTAACTAATTTTGAAAGAATTAAGATAAAGTAAGGTGGAGTTAAGGTCAATGTTGGGGTTACAAATTATTTTTTCTAAAAAAATTAAATACATTATTCCTGCTATATTTCCCTAATTTTCCCTGCCCTACAAATATATTTATTTCATTTGAATAAACAAAATAAAACATAAATGATAGTTAAAAAAAAATGTTCTTACTAATTGAATCTCCTTAGCATACATCTCTAATTTCTGATTCAAATCAACTGTTTGCCTCATTAAATCATTCACATAATCCTCTTTTGAACTCAAACTCAATTTAAGACCATTTATGTGTTCCTCTTTAGAATTTATAATTGATTTCAAGTTATTTATCTCTGTCTCATTTGAACTTGTAACTGTTCTTAGGTCATCCATTTGGACCTCATTCAATTTTATCATCATATTCAAATTCAGATTCTCCTTGTGCAGTTCATCAAACTGAGTTTGAAAGGTAACTTTCCATAAACTGATATCAGCTAATCGCTCTTCAGCAACTGCAAGCAAACGATTTGATTCACTTAACGAGTTTATCAAAAACTAAATAATAATGTTAAACATTTTTGTTAAACATATTTAAATGTAATAATTTCAATATAGCTATTAAAAGTGAAAATAGCCAGAAATTACTAAAAGTGAGAACAGCTAAATAGAGATTATAGAAAAATCTTTTTTACTTTTTCTTCAAAATTAGAACATAATACAAATTGGTACGCAAATATATTATATATCTTTAAATTATTTGGTTAACTTTCCAGAAATCTTAAAAATAAGAACCAAAGAAAATCATATAAAAGTATCAACTTCAATTAAATCTATCATTATCTTATACATTTGTGTAATATGTTATATAATACATATTTATGAATTATATACCATATGTTGAAACTCTCTATTATAATACCATGTTAAAAGTACATCAGAGGTATGATAACTTTTAAAGACTAAAACATATAGTTATATGTTTTATCAATAATCACGACTTTTAACTTTATCGCATGTTTATACCTAATGACAAACGTAAAATCATATCTTTTTGAACAAATTATGAAAAAACTGCATTTAAAATAAACAAAAATGTTTGGATATAATTTATTAATGGAATTCACTACCCTAATTAATATTATTTTAATGTCATGAACATAAAATATATTACAAGTTTCGTTTAAAATTCAATAGCTTGATAGTCAAGAATTAAATTAAAATTTATTACAGAATATAATAATTAGAGATGTGCCGGAACCAGTTTATGCCGAGTCTCCGATTCCGGGTACCCGGCTGAAAAAACCCGGGTCCGAGTTCCTGTACTCGGCACCGAGTCCATTTTTTTAAAAGTTGGAATAAAAATTTGTGAAATCTCTAGCGCTGAACTATTCACACAAAATACGCTTTTTACGCTAACTAACCAAAAGTTATGTGGCCGAAGTACCATTTAGCAAAACCCCGCAATGCAGGGTAAGGGGCCTGAGTTGTAGGGCCTAACTTTTTTTAAAAGTTGTTCAACAGTTTTTTAATAACTATATTTAGTTGAAAATTATTTTTCTTTCCTGGTGGAGCGGGCCTAAATAATATTTTGTGGGAAAGGGGGCAAAGTTTGAAGTTCCGCCATTGAAAGTTATATTATGGAAAGAAATATAAAGAATTGCATTAGGTATTCTCCGTTATCTGCTTTTAATCTGCTCCTTGTTGCTTCGTATATGTCCCCACCAACACTAAATAACCTTTCACTTTCTATCGATGACGGAGGTGTTGTAAGATATTTTAATGCCATCTTTTTTAGTTTTTTAAATTGCATTCCACATTTACTCCACCACAAAAACGGAGAACCTTTATTTTCTAAAAGAGGCAGAGATAAATAGTTGTCTATTTCTTGAGTAATTGCAGACCTTAATATTGTTTGCTTCTTAATTATGTCAGTGGTAACAACTTCAATATCTACTAATTCTCTTTCTGCCTCGGAACGTCTTTCACTCTGCTTTCTTCCGCTTCTCATAGAAGCTACACCTTTAAAACAATCATCAATGCTAATGAATCCATTAGATGCTGGAGCTTTTACTATTGGAGCATCGTCGGAGTCAGAGTCAACAACATCTTGCGCTCCTTGCATTTCTTTCCATGCTTCTTCAACCCACTCCTTTATAACATTTTTATCTGCATGTTGATAAAGTAATTTATATCGTGGATCCAAAAATGTTGATACACATAACATTTTATTAAGCAAAAATTTATCAAGTCTTTTAGTAACAGATTTTATTAGTTCATTAATCATCGTCATAATCCCAGCGTATATATCACTTGATGAAGCTTTTTGTAATAAAACTTTTAATGCAAGAACAGATGGTATAATTTGTGCGCAAGTTTCGTCCCTCCTACCACATTTTTTTGTTAAGTTTTCAAATGGAGCAAGAATGTGAACAAGTTTTTCGACTATTCCCCATTGATAATTAGTAGGAAGTTTAATTTCATCATATTCTGCTGCATAGGTGGCCAAAGGAACTTTTTGTTTAAACGTTCTTTGTAGCATTTCAAATGAACTGTTCCAGCGAGTTGGAACATCTTGTTTCATTTTGTGAGGTACAGTACTTAACTGCTGCTGAATTGATTTTAATTTTGCACATGCTATTGGCGAATGATTAAAATGTGTCGTAATTCCTCTGCATAAAGTTAAAATTTCCTTGATGGTTTCTTGGCTAAATATAGAGTCATGAATACATAGCTGCAAAGTATGGATAAAGCATGGAATTGATGACATTCCACTGTTTTTTACTGCAGCCTTCATATTGCTTGCATTATCGGTAACAATAAGATGAATTTTGCTTAACGGGATTTCAAAAGTTTCTAAACCTTTTTGTAAATACTCTTTTATATGAACACCTGTGTGCTTTTCCGGAAAATGAATTACTCGAAGAACAGCAGTTTCTTGGGAAAATTTAGTTAGATCTATCCAATGTCCAGTAATGCTTAAAAATGCGATTTTTGCAGTATCCGCTGTCCAAATATCTGTCGTCAGAGACAAGTAGTTTGCCGCGGAGATTTTTATTTTTATATTTTTAAACAGTTCATCATACATGCTAGGGATTACGTTTTGGCTGAAATATGTTCTACATGGTAATTTGTAATTGGGGTAAGCATCTTTAATCAGTTCATTAAACCGCGTATCTTCAACAATAGAAAATGGCAGAATATCCAATGTGATAAGTTTTCCTATTATTTTATGGATTCGAATAGATCTGTGGTCATCAATATTCCACTGTTTTTTTTTGTGTAAAGCCTGAATAATGTTTCTTTGTACTGTATTGGTGGTAGAAGCAAATGAGGCTTCAGAAATAGGCGGCAACGATTGAACCTTTTTTTTTTCTTTCGCAAGTTCAAACTCTTTGGAATGCTTTAAACGCAAATGTTTTACCATTGCTGTAGTTCCATAAGACTTGAAAGATTTTCCTCCTCTCGTAACTAAACTATCACATAGTATCCCCCTCCCCTTCTGGGGTCTATAATCAGCCGCCAATGATTTTTAATGAAATGACAACCCAAAATGGACAGTTTCCAAACAAAACCATTTATATTGAAACAAATAGACTTTACGAAAGTTTGTTGTTACTTATTTGCTACCATTTTAATTTTTTTCCCTACAAACCGCGTTATATGAATTTGGCTAATGGCCGTAAGTCATAACGCCAACGTATATATTCTATTATAGAACGAAAAGTAGCCTGGACCCTGAATACGCTGTTAGTTTTATAGAGTGAATGTCTGTCTTTTATAGAGTGAATATCTGACCTGAGAATGGATCGACATAATTATAAATAAAAAATTAATCAAATTTTAGGGGGGGCACGAGCCGGCTGTGCCCCCCTCTAAATCCGCGCCTGCTTATATCAAAGAACTTCCACGCTATACTTTTTTTTGTCATAATTTTTCTTTCAAATAAAATTTCTATAAAGATAATGAAACTAGTTTTGATATCAAAGTTTTCGTTTATTTTATATAAAACGATAATTTTTTTAATAATACGCTCGAAATTAAAATATGAAAAATGTGTATAATATTTACCTTATATCTCTACTTTTATGATTTTTGCTTGATACGAATGAAAAGTGCTATCAGGGTTTAAAAGCATTATAAGCGTTTCATTCAAAACTAAATTGCTAAAAATTATCTTGTGTTCTAACAGAAAAAAAAGAAGCTATTCTAAAACTTTTTTTCCCATTCTTTTTATTCGTATTCTCGAATTATTTCATTTAGCGTTACAGTTTTTGTATCCGTATAAATTTTTTTGCAAAAATGTATTAAAAAATATTTTAAGTGAGATTGTTTTAAGTTAATAAAACTTTGTGGTTATCGACTACATAACACTCTTAGACTTATATCAAGAAGTTTAATGGTTAAAGTTTAACTAAAGAAAAAATCAATTTGAAGATACCCGGTGCTGGGTACTGTAACAAAATGGCCGATACCGGGTACCCGGTAAAACAGCCGAATTACCGGATCTCCGGGTCCGAACCGGTTACCCGGTACATCACTAATAATAATACAGCCAAGAAACTTAAAAATTTATTACGACAGGTATACGTACCGCAAAAACAACCGTACCGCAGAAACCACAATGTTGGCTTAAGTGACCTAGTATGTAGAAAAGGTTTAGGACTCAAAAAACTTGATATATTATGATAGCTATTATGTCAGCCTATAAATTAAAGCAGTTTTAATGGTTTTTTTTATTTTTTTAATACTTTGGTATTGGTATTGCATTATTGAGTAAAAATTTCAATTATTAAAATGTGTAGTTTTTTTTGTTTTGTAGGAGCCTAGAAGCCGTATCAGAAAATTAGCAATTATAAATTAGCAAAATATAGTTTTTTTATTACCTATGGATTATAACTAGATACTGAAAAAAGTTTTTTTCTCTCAAGTAGTTATAAATCTTTAAAGAAAGGATGTATTATTGTTGTTTTTGGGGTACATTTTATAGAATTCACTTTATAGACCATGTTTTGAAATAAAAAACAACAATAAATTACCATTGTATTTGTTGTTTTTTTAAAGAAAATAATACATATTTATCTTAAAAACAATATTTAAATACAGCAGTAATAACACAGACATCTAAAATGGCTGCAGACTTTATAACATTATTATAACAATAGGTTACTACAACAATGTTAAGATAACATAGATAAATAAAATAGCACTTTAACTGATTACTTTAATTCAAAAAAAGATTATTGATTGTCGTTGCATTTGCTATATCAGTCTTTTAAATGTGGAGAAGAGCTAGTTTGCTGGTAAAAGCATAACCAGTTTAACACCATCAACTCTGCAACTCAATTTGTTGCAAATTGAACGGAGAAAATCAAAAAATTCTTTAGGTTAAAAGCTTGACATTTCTTTTGTTTGCAAAACATTCAACTTTACATTTAATAAATTTTTCTTTAGCTTTTTCTTTCTTTTTTTTGGCTTCCTCCTTTGCTGTTATCTTTCGTCGTTTCTCTTCTTTTATATCTTTCACTTTTGCTGCAACATCTTTTGCTGCAACATCT